GGACCAATCATAATGCTGGTCTCAACTGCAACAGCGATGGGTGCACATTGGAAGAGCCCAAAGGCCAGTCTGGAAATCGATGATACTAAACATGGTTAAGGGTTGGCACTGACACAATAAACACGCAACACAGTCCATCATAAATGAGGCCAAGGCAAAGTCTGGACTGGGAGTGTTTCCCCAGAAGCCTCATGGGCAAAGTTGGTGAGGTCTCCCCACTGCACTGTAATTCTCCAAGTCCAGGTAGCAAGTGGCTGCGGTCTTGAAAGATGCTCCCTCTGAGTCCTGGGCCTTTGTACTCTTTGGAGGTACAGCCTATGGATATACCTGTGCAATCTGGGCTGCCTGCAGGACTGATGCCCAAGCTCCTGGCTCTTATCTCACCGTCAAGTTGGAAAGAATAAAAAGTGTTGACTAAGAGCTGAGTGGGGGGAAAAATGCAATTGAATAGACTTGAGAGGTTATCGCAGCATAACCTGCACAAAGCTCTGGTGAAACAGCTTGATCTGCAAGTGAGCAGAATGATGAATCTGCTCCCTTCGGAGTAAAGCAGCCACGGGGGCTCCACCTGCAAAAGGCAAAGGGCTGCTTCTCCTGGGAGTTCATTTTTAGGACTCTCCCCCAAACCCAACCTGTTCTGTGCGCATTCATGCCCCCCCCCCGGGGGGGGCAGGCAACATGCCCCTCCCATCTCAGTGCCAGCACACGGTGCCTCTCTTTTGCCAGATTTTGGACTGTTTTCTGATTGTTTTTCTCATTTCATATTTGACTGTTGGCTCCCCTGAGGGCTCAAACTGAGTAGCTCTGAGGGCTGCAAATGACACAAAGAGAACCAGATAAGTCAAGGCAATGGCCTCGTCTATTTTTTCTTTTCCTCTCCAACATGAGATCTGATTTAGCCGGCATTGCTCAGAGAAAGAGGCAAACTAAACAGGGGAAACCAATACTCGGAAAACATTTTGATCTGAAACTCAGAACAACTTTAAAAATTGTGACATTTGGATTACATTAAATATGTTTGCTTTATTTCCCCCCAACACACACTATGTTTCATTAAAGCGGTTTTCAATACTGAAACACAAACAACTGAAATATGACAGCAATGGAGTAGGGAATACAGGGACTGTAACCTGAACATTACATTCAAACACGCTCAAAATTTTATCAGAAGATTCTGATTGAACAAGCTTGTCAATATTTTAGTTCTGTAAGACATCACATTTGCATTTGATAGTATATTCTATCCTATGAGGAGTTTGTGGGATTTTATTTTGGGGACCAAAACCAAACTATCTAAGAGACCAAATTTTTCCAGGCTGTTGCAGGGAACGAAGGCTGGTCTCCTTTACTCCGGTTGCCAGCTAACCAAAGAAATCTTGGTATCAAGAGGAGCCCTATAAAGAAATTTCTGCTTTTTAATGCAGAATATCGCAGGTGTTGCTGGTACTAACTGGCATGAAATGTGATAGAACCTGACTCTTGGCAGAATACACACACACACACACACACACACACACACACACAAAGAGCCCATCAAACTGGCTGGAAAAGGCCTTCAGGAGATGACCCCTCAGGCTGAAGGACAGGTGGGAAGGAGCCTGCTTTGGTCCCCCCCCCCTCAGAAACCCACACATTTAGGAAACTATTTTGGCAGGAGGGATCTTTGGGCCTCTTTGAGTCTCTTGGGATTTAGAAACGTGGTAACCTATTTCTCTTTCACCAAGCTCTTAAGGGCTAGTTGCTTTAACAAGGATTCTGGGGATTAATGTGTATAGCTTTAATATTGTTATGCTTCATGCTTTTTATTGTTGTTAGTCAACTCGGAAGATAGAAAAAGCAAAAAATTAGGCACAGGTAAGCAACAACAATTTGTGTTTTAGCCTGAAACTTAGCTTGTTTGGGTCCAGTGGAATAGTGGAAATGCCGTACATGCACTGGATTGGCCACCATCTTGCCACTGCTGGGCTGGCATGGGTCATGGCTCTGGCTGCAGCATGGCTGTGGACCCCAAAACTGGATGTGCTCCGGTGCCAGGAAATAGTTCTGGAATGGATGCTCAAAAGAGGTGGATGCCAGAGAAGCACGAGTTCAAAACAGCCTACTAAATAACAAGGCTGATTTCATCCAGCTGTGACCTTGGTTGCCGCTTCTAGGACTTACTTTCTGGGTGAATGGGAAGAAAATCCCCTGGTTTATGATCTGAAGAGACTTCAAAAAGGTCTACCTGAATTTAAGGGCCAAAGGGATTTTATGCTCATGCTTTTTTCCAACTTCCCCGATGTTTAGTTTGAGCACTGCAATATATACACATTTATTGTGCTGTCACTTTGTTTGATTAGGGGACTGGAGGCTAAAATATATAAGGAACGGTTGCTAGAATTGGGTATGTCTAGTTTAACGAAGAGAAGGACAAGGGGGGACAGGATAGCAGTATTCCAATATCTCAGGGGCTGCCATAAAGAAGAGGGAATTAAGCTATTTTCCAAAGCACCTGAAGGCAGGACAAGAAGCAACGGGTGGAAACTAATCAAGGAGAGAAGCAACCTAGAACTAAGGAGAAACTTCCTGACAGTGAGAACAATTAATCAGTGGAACAGCCTGCCTCCAGAAGCAGTAAATGCTCCAACACTGGAAGTTTTTAAGAAGAGACTGGACAGCCATTTGTCCGAAATGGTGTAGGGTTTCCTGCCCGAGCAGGGGGTTGGACTAGATGACCTCCAAGGTCCCTTCCAACTTTACTACTATTATTATTATTATTTAACAAATGCACAGTTGAATGTATTTATGGAACCAAACAATGGACTAGCAACCAAACTACTTGCCTGTGACAGTCCAGCCAGCCAGGCCTGTCACAGGCAAGTAGTTTGACAGGGTCCATGGAAACAGAAGTAAAAGCTCAGTTCCCCCCCCCCCCCCCAACAGACAAGCTCATGAGGGACCTCGAAATTCCCAGGATGAATAAAGGAGGAGCTGCAGCTGTAACAAGCACAGCAACACAAAACCTAACCTCATAGCGACTCTCCTCCTCCTCCACACTTTGCATAGTCTGGAGAGCAGGCACCAAACACGCAGTCCATGTTTTGTGGGCAGCCATTAAAATGCAGATGCAGAAACAAATGAGCGAATCATCGTCAGACTCTGGTGCTTATTGACACCCAACCCTATAACAGTGTTTCTCAACCTTGACCATTTTAAGGCATGAGGACTTCAACTCCCAGAATTCCACAGCCAGCATTGCTGGCTGTGGAATTCTGGGAGTTGAAGTCCACATGCCTTAAAATGGTCAAGGTTGAGAAACACTGCCCTAAAAGGACCAATTTGGGAGACTCTTCCCCCTCCCCAGCAGAGGAGGGCTACTGCTTTCCCTGTGTCCGGCTCCTTTGTTTTGTTTGATCAAAACATTTTCTGACCTCCTATTCCCCCCCCCCCAAATAAAGTTGTTCACCTTCCCATCCAGACAGAAACACACAAACCGGCTGTGAGCTCTGGTCAATTCCTACTCCCCTTCTGTCCTGAGAGGCTGCCTGGTCAGTCTCTGCATTGCCCTGTGGAGAATCTGCCCTCCTTTCCTGGAGCTGCAGAGACGGGCCAGGGCTGTTCCCCACAGAAGGCCCACAGGTGAACCGCTTGCCAAAATGGCAGGGAGGGGGCTCTAAGCCCTTCTCTCACCAGGATTGAGGCACAAGCCCTTCAGGCCACAAACGGGAGCCCACCTCTTCGCCTCCTGTCAGCCCTGAGGGCCACTGCAGTTCTCCTTGAGGGCTTCAGGTTTGGGGCTTCCTGCTCACCCAGAGTGCTGCTGCTGCCCTCCTTGCTTCTCACCAGCAGGCAGACCAGGGGTAGTCAACCTTGGCTCTTTTATGACTCGTGGACTTCAATTCCCAGAATTCCTGAGCCAGCTTTGCTGGCTCAGGAATTCTGGGAGTTGAAGTCCACGAGTCATAAAAGAGCCAAGGTTGACTACCCCTGAGGCAGACCAAGGGAAGCCGGACTAGGAAGCGCCTGCTGGGCCAGGTCAAGGCGAGCCGAACCCCTCCCCGCCCTCTTGCAAGGGGCCCCCTCCAACCCAGCAAATGTCCTCAACACACCTGTCCTGCAGGTACCCGTCAGACACCCCTGTAAAGCCACCCAGGCACGCTCCCGTCCCCACACCTGCGGCAACAGATCGTGGCCCAATGCTGCTGGGCCTCTCCTGCAACGGCTCCAACCGGCTTCCTCAGGGCATAGCAGGGCGCTTTGTCCGGCCTGGCCTGATTTTAGAGGCAGCCTTTTCCTTTCTCTTCAGACCCGGAGAGCTCCGCGGGGAGGAGGAAGCGACTTCAGGGCGATTTCCCGCTCCTCCCAAGAGGCGCCCGTCTGGAGGGCGGAGGTTGAGTCGCTCACAGGCAGAGAAGCAGCGGACAGCCTCCCTCCGAGGAGCCTGGCGGTTGCCTCTCGGCCTGGGCCACGTTCCGGGCTGCTCTCTGCCTAGCTCCGGAACAAACCGAGGCTCCGGAGAACCGGGCCGGCCTCAAAAGAGAAGCGGCGGGCGAAGCTCCGCAACCCGAACTTCTCTGCTGCTCTGCCCGGCGCCGTAGAGGCCGCCCGGCTCCGGCTCCCCACGGCAGCGCAGCCCGGAACGGTCAGGCCCGGGCCGGGCAACGGCTCGCCCCCCGGCGCCCTCCGGGAAGCGGCTCTCGCGGCTGCGGCTGCTGCTGCTCCGGCTTGCAACGCACGAGCGGGTCTGCCGCACCGGGGCTCCCCCCGGCCCTCTCTCGGCCGCGTTTCGGGCAGCGGCGCTGGCCGCGTCTGGCGGCAGGGAGCCCCGCAGCCTGGGCGTCCGACGTGCCCCCCCCCGCGCCTCCCCCGGCGTCCCCGCCCTCCCGTGCGGCGGACCCCGAATCCCGCGGCAGGAGCGCCGGGACGCGAGGCCGGGCTAGGAGGCGGACGGCGCAGCGGAACCTCCGCTCCGGAGCTGGCGGGGGGGGGGGCGGCCAGGGGCGCCGCCGTCCATTTCTTACCTCCGATGCCTGGAAGATGAGCGGGACTCGCCGGCGCAGCTGCCCGCCTCGTTCAGGCGCGCACCGCGGCTGGCCGGGGCTTCCGCCGGGGGCGCATCCGGGCGCGGGGAGCGAGGGAGGCGGCCGGCACGACGCCCCGCGAATTGGCGGCCCTTGGCCGGAGCTGCTTTCCCGCTCGCTGCGCCGCCGGGACCCTCCCGGGAAGAACCGCCCGCCAGTCGCGGCCGAGCCTGGAGTCGCGCCACCGCGCACCTGCTGCCCCGGGAGAGCTCGGCTAGCAAGGGAGGCTCGCGCGGCACCTCCGGCCGCGGCTAACGGGCTGAGCGAAGCGGCGGGCTCGGACGCTGCCGACGGCGGGAGCGGAAGGTGCGCGCCTCCGCTCTCTGCGATTGGAGGAGGAGGAGGGGGCGCGCACGCGCGAGGCGGCCCCGCGGGAGCGCCGTCGCTCCTCTGATCCCCCCCCCCGCCGCGGCCGGACACGCCCCCTCAGCCGCGTGCGCCGGGCCGCAGGGCCGCCTCCCTCGGCGGGTGCCGCTCTGGCGCGGAGAGGGGGAGCCCCGGGAGAGCCCCGCGCGAGCGCCTCGCCGGCCGCCGAAGCCTGGCTTTCGAGCAGGAGCGGCCTTGCCCTGCTTGTCCTTGGCCGGCGCCGGGAGCAGCAGCCGCCGCCGGCCGCCCCGCTTCTCGCAAGCCGCCTGCGCCGCTTGCCGCAGCCTTCCATCAGCGGGAGGCTCCGGGACGAGCCGGGGCTGCTCCGGCGGGCCGCTTCTCTGGCCGTGGGGCCTGCTGGTGTCCTGCGCTGCGCTCCCTCGGCGGGGGCCGCCCTGGGAAAGGTGGAAGCGCCGCTCTGGTCCGGGACGGTCAGCCGCGACGGCCCCAACAGGGCTCCGAGCCCTGCCTGGCCGGCTTTGTGCCTCCGTCCGCCAAGAGCAGCCGGCTGCGAGTTGCTGCCGTGCGCTGCCCCGAGTGCGCCTCGGCCCCGGATCCCCCCCCCCCGGGACTCCGGCCGCGTCCGCAGAAGACGAACGGGGCGAAGGGCGCTTTGGCGCGCCTTCCATCCCTCCCGTCTGAAGGGCGCCTTCCTGCCCCGCGGTCCCCCGGCCCACAGCAGCATTGGTGGTGCGCGTGGATCGACTCTGAGCGAATGCGAGGTGTTTCTGTTGCTGGATAAAGCTTATTAAATCAGCTGGCAACCTCCGAGTATCGTTGGTAGATCATCCCCAACTTTCCTCCGGTGCTTCATAAAGAGATCTCCTGCAACCTAAGTTGCAAGTTAAGCCTCCCAGAATCGTTGATCATGTACAAGTTTAATAAATGATGGTTCGTCCCACAGTCAACTGGATGGTTAGATTGGACTTGGCATTTTTATCCTCCTATCAAGTCCTTCCCAAAGACCTGGGATAGGAGATGTTATTTGATAATGTCAAAGGCATTGTTGCAAGATGTAAGCTGTTCCAAGCACAGTTGATTTTTACAACTGAGTGATGGGGATTTTGTCAATGCCATCAGTCAATTGCAAAAGATTTTTTTTAAGTATAAAAGTAAATTGCAAAATTATTATATTATTATTGTTATTACTACACCCTAAGCCTATTGTTTAAGGCTCCAGGTTACAAACCAAGAGACTGGGAGTTCAAGTCTTGCCTTAGACATGAAAACTGGCTGGGGGAGTGTGTGTGTGGAAGCAGACTCTGTACTTGCAGGAAAATGCTAGGAAGAAAAAGAAACAGAATTATTATTGCACCTGAGAGCAAGTTGAGACAAAGACATTTGTACACACATCCACTAAGAGTTGGAGCACACTGTTTAACATTAAATTATTACTGATGGATTATTTGTTACATTGCCTGCACTTTGGAACAAGTCTTTTCAGGCATCTGCAAATGCCTGAAGATAAATCTGTAAGTAAACCACAGATCTAACTGCTGTTAAGTTGTCTTTTTTTGTATGAAAATGGAAAGCAGAAGAGGGATTTGTGTGGATGGACAAGAACAAAAAAGGTCTTACACATTTGAACCATCCTGTAGTAATAGTGGAGGATGAGACTGAGGGAGCAGGGTATATCTAGCTAGCCCACAGGTCGGCAACCTGCGGCTCCGGAGCCGCATGCGGCTCTTTGAGCCTTCCCCTGTGGCTCCCAGCCTCCTCTGCCTTTGCAGAGAGAGACAGAGACAGACAGAGGCAATTGCGCTTCCCTGCTTCTCTCTCTCTCTGAGGTGTGTGTGTGTGTGTGTGTGTGTGTGTGTGTGTGTGTGTGTGTGTGTGTGTGTGTGTAAAAGAGAGTGTACTCACAGTATTCTCCAAGGAGCTGAAAAGCTTACTGGGCGGACCTCCTCCCTTTGCTGCGTCTCTGCAGGAAGCAGGAAGGGCAGGAGAGAGCTAGCTAGCCCAGCTAGGCTGACTCAGGAATTCTGGGAGTTGAAGTCCATGAGTCTTAAAAGAGACTAGGTTGTCTACCCCTGAGTTTGTTGGACAACAGCTTGAAACTTGCCAGGTGAGCAGCAGATAGGAGAGGGGGGAAGAGAGAGAGAGAGGGAGGGAGGGAGAGAGAGAGAGAGAGAGAGAGGAAAGAGAGAGAGAGAAAGAAAGAGAGTGGGGGAAGAGGAGTGGCAGACCAAGGGCAGATAGAGAGAGAGGGAGGGAGAGAGAGAGACAGAGAGAGAGAGACCCTTTTGACATCTAAAATGAAGATAACACTGCATATATCCTTTTTTTAACCTCTGTGTGTATGTGTGTGTGTGTGTGTGTGTGTGTGTATACACACACACATATACATACACACACACACACACACACACACACACACACACCTATAATAAAGGTAAAAAAGGATATATGCAGTGTTATCTTCATTTTAGATGTCAAAAGGGTTTTGCAGCTCCCGGTGTTTTGTTTTTGGTGGGAAACGGGTCCAAGTGGCTCTTTGAGTGTTTTGGGTTGCCTACCCCTGGGCTAGCCTATCAAGGAGAAGAATTAGGAGGATCATGATAACTATCTTCCGTACTTGAGGGCCCATCATAGAGAAGAGAGGGTTGACTTTTTCTCTAAGCACCAGAGGGCAGGATAAGAAACAAGGGGTCGAAGCTTGTTAAAGAGAGATCTGACCTGGAAGTAAGGAGAAATTTCCTGATGGTGAGAACAATTAATGGCATTGTTCTCCAAGCTTCTTTGGAGTTATCCTAAAGATGCTTTTTCACGAGTTGGAACTTCCTTGGAGTTGTGAATGCTCCATTGCTGGAGGTTTTCAAAAATAGACTGAACAACCATTTAATCGGTTGAGCAGGGGTTGGATGAGAATACTTCTAAGGTCCCTATGATTCTGTGATTACTTGAAGGAAGATGCGGAAGGCATATTTGTCGCTTCTGGAGTGTTGAGAGCAAAGGTCTAAAAATAATAGAATAAAATTTAATAGAGATGGATTTAGCTCTTTGTTTATGTAACTGAAATCAAATGTTAAAGCAATCCTGGCTTGCCACTAATACTTTCTCAAAAGATCTTGGAATGCTGGCTGATGGCACCAGCAGAGTGCAGGCAGCAGTTGGGACCTTCAGGCACCCTTCAGCTGCATGCTAAATCCTGTGGCAGGTCAGCTGCAAAGAGGCAAAGAAAGGGGGAAAGAGGAAGTAATTCACCACCACAGGTACATTTGTGTAGGCAAACTTCTTCATCACTAGCCAGAGCATAGAACAACTCAAAGAAGTAATGCAAGATCAGAAGTTATGGAGAAGACTGGCGCATAGAATCGCCAAGAGTCAGACATGACTGAATGGCTAACATCATCCTAACCAAAATAATTAGGCCCACAGATTACTACCCTTTTTTCCTCCTCCACATAAGGGCAAATGACACAACAAAGAACCTGAGTACAATGTTGAGAGACTATGAGCAACTAGGCACAATAAAGTTAAGGATTTAGGTGCACAAATAATGTTCTCATCAGTACTCCCAACAAAAGGTCAATTCCTTTTTGGAAAAAGGGAAAAAAGAATTCTAGAAATAAACCACTGGCTAAAGGGTTGGTGTCACCAAGAGGACCGTGGACTGCATTACCTACATGAAGGACTTTGACAAATCCTTTATGGTTCTGCTTCAGCGGGGGGATTAGAGTAGAAGACCTCCAAGGGCCCTTCCAGCTCTATTCTATTAAGGTTCTACATTTAGGCAAGAAAAACCAAATGCATGGGTACAATATAGGTGGTATCTTGCCCAATAATAGTAACTGTGAGAGGGATCTCGGAATCCTAGTGGACAATCACTTAAATATGAGCCAGCAGTGTGCTGTAGCTGCCAAAAATGCCAACACAATAATAGGCTGCATTAATAGAGGTTAATAATCAAGATCATGTAAAATGTTAATACCACTTTATAATGTCTTGGTAAGGCCACGCTTGGAATACTGCATACAGTTTTGGTCACCACGATGTAAAAAAGATGTTGAGACTCTAGAAAGAGTACAGAGAAGAGCAACAAAGATAATTAGGGGACTGGAGGCTAAAACATATAAGGAACGGTTGCTGAAATTGGGTATGCCTAGTTTAATGAAGAGAAGGATGAGTCAAGCTATTTATTCTCCAAAGCACCTGAGGGCAGGACAGGAAGCAATAGATGGAAACTAATCAGGTAGAGAAGCAACCTAGATCTAAGGACAAATTTCCTGACAGAACAATCTGTGGGACAACCTGAAAAACTAGAAGGTTTTAAGAAGAGACTGGACAACGATTTGTCTGAAATGGTATAGGGTTTCCTGCTGAGCAGGGGGTTGGACTAGAAGTCCTCCAAGGTCCCTTCCAACTCTATTATTATTAATTGTTATTGTTATTGTTGTTGTTATTGCTGGTAGAAAGGGTCTTTTTGGGTCTTTTTGTTCCTTTCTGGGCTGGCTAGACTTTTGAATAGTCAGGAGATGTTGTTAGTGTCTGTGTGCCTATTGATGGCTGATTTTTCAGAGTGCTAGGCTTCTAGAAATTCCCTGGCATTTTTGGACTTGGCTTGGTCTAGGATGGTTACATTTTCCCAATTGAAACTATGGTTAAATCTGCCTACATGTTGTGCAATTAAAGAATTTTCATCATGTCTTCTGACTGCTAGTTGGTGTTCATGGATGCCTTCTGCCAGTCCTCTGCCTGTTTGTCCTACATAGAGGTTGTTGCAGTCCTTACATTGCATGTTGTAGATCCTGTTTTTTCATCTAGGGTTGTTGGGTTTTTTGGTAGGCTTAGGATGTTTTGAAGGGCTTTAGTTGGCTTGTGTGCTATGCTGATTCCATGTGGTTGGTGATTTCTGTGATATTCGTGATGTATGGCAGTGTAATTCTTTTTAGGGTTTGAATTGGTTGTGTTTGTATTGAGTTATATTGTCAGGGACTTTTTGATAAAGTTGCATGGGTATCCATTTTGTTGGAATGTG